TTTTTTTTTTTCCCAATTTTTTCCCCCCCCCCCCCCCCCCCCCCCCCCCCCCCCGCTCCCCTCAGTACCCCACGTGATGCAGAGCCACCCGCGCAACCCAAAGGTGCCAGGACGCCACCGCTCCTCACCCTCTATCTTGTCCCCTTCTTTCGTGCAATCTAACCTTTTCGGTCGGGTCGTTTGGTGACCTGTTGTCTCGTTTTCCCGCTCCGAAGGGGCAGCGCTGGCGATGGCCTCCCGCGGAAGGGCGTGGTGCAGACGCTGTCGTCGGAGGGATGGTCGTGGATCAAGAAGGATGGCCAAGGTTCTCGCAAGAGCGGCAACCGCATCCCCTTCGTGATGGGGGATGTAGTGATGAAGGTGATGGCGTCTTGTCATGTTTTTCGTGTGGAGAGGGGGGGGGTGGGGGGGTAGGTGATGCATGGAAGAACGGTGGGTAGTATCGCGATGGCTCTCTGCCCCTTTTGCGCTAAATAGCAGTTATTCCAACTTGATCGGGACATCTTAGTACGTCGTGGATAGCATCGTAGGCATACCAAAGCGACGGGGGTTTCGGCGCGTCAATCGAGGGAGACTGCCCCAGCAATGCCGTACTCCGGTGCCGCGGATGCCAACATGCCCCCCACGACACACACAAACGGCAACTAACAGGACGGAGAGCAGCGGCAGCCCTTGCAAAAGGGCGACCACGTGGAGTACCGCGTCTGGAAAGACACGGAAGGCAGGTCGATGGCCGTAAGAGTTGAGCGGGCCAAGGAGAGACCGCGGCCGGCTGGAGGCGCGGTGGGCAGTGGCAGCCGGTCCACTCAGGCACATTTTCGGTGAGTGCAGCCACCGAGGGTGCGCAGAGAGAGGGGTTGGTTGCGTTGCCAGAAGGGGGAGCCTAAGGTTGGGGGCCAGGCAACGCTACCCGTCTCTTGATGTGGAAGCGGCCCATGCGTTTCTGTTGTGTGTTCCCTGCAGGTAAGGTAAGGCACTGGCACGAGGTTAAGGACTCGTGGGCATAGAACAACGAGCCCTTGCCAACACTCGATTTCGTTGGCCGCGTTGCCGATTGTGGTGTGTACCAGCATGCTCAAGCGACGTCCTCCTTTTGCGCGAAAAACATTGCCACAACCACAACCATACGACCATGTGTTAGGCTGGTTGATGGAGCACACCACGGCACCGTGCGGGAGTACAGTAGTGCAGAGATTGCTGTCTTGTATGGACTGAAGAGTCTTGCATGCCACTTTGGTGTTCTTGTTGACGGGCCCAGGGAAGGAGGTGGGCGTGGCCGTCATAAAGACGGGCGGCTGCAAATCTCTTGGGTTCGCGAGGAGATGTGTCTCGTTTCAGCTCGTGGGTGTTGCTGGAGAGGTAGCGCTACTGTTGTGTGTGTGTGTGTGTTTTCTTGTCGTGTTGCGCTCGCATCTGAACGGTGGCTCTACCTCCATGGTTTCGGTTCAGTTGTTCGTTTGTGTACGGGTAATGACAGAGTGGAGTTTTTTTTTGCTCATCTGAAGGTGGCGGTAGTATTGGCCAATGCGGGGGCAGCAGCAGCAGCAGCAGCAATGACAAGGAGTGGCAGGATGCAGACCAACCAGTGCGATGCCATCCTGCAACGAGCTTCGTCGCGATTCCAAGCATTGTTTTTGCTTCTGCTGGGTTGTGATGGTAGCTTTTGTTTCCCCGCCACCATAAGAAATTGTCGGTTACGGTACTCAACTGATTTTTATTCGCATCCACGAAGGTAGAAGATAATCACTGCTGGTACAAGTTATCGAGAACAACCGACAGAAGTGACTGGAAACATACAGCGACATCCGTACGTACGATCAGTGGACTGTCATCATGACACCAACGTTTTTCTGCCCCCCCCCCCCCCCCCCCAAGGTTTGCCCCCGGGGTTGGGTTTTGGCCCCGGGGCAACAACTTTTAAAAAAAGGCCCCCCCCCCCCCCCGGTTTGCCACCGGGTTTG